AATGAAAAATGACATTCGCATGTTTAATCCTACTAAATTTTGGCTTATTACCCACTTTGAGATGGACATGGGAGAACCATCCTTTGTCTTTGGCATGAAAATCACAAACGATAGAAGTTAGATGTTTATGTCTATCTGAAGTAAGTATTTAGAAAGCATTTTAAAGCAATTTAAGATGGAATATTCTCACCTCAATATACACCAATTTGCAAAGGTTTAAACAAAGAAAATGAGTCTGTCAAATGGTAGTGATAAAATTGAGATAGAACGAATACTATATACTTGAGTTATGTTGTCGGTCTTATGAGTAGATTTCAAAGTAATCTTAGGACTCACTGACAAGCAGTAAAGAGAATCACCATCATCATCATCATAGCCTTTTCCCTATTAATTGGGGTCGGTTACACGAATCTTGGTCTGCCATTCTGCTCTAATTAAGGTAATACCCTCAAGAGGCCATAAGTCCCCATATCTTTTCGGATTACTTCCAACCACATCCTTTTGGGTCTCCCCCTTGCCCATTCAGTCCTTCCACATGAACTAACACGCACCTCCTAACAGGTGTTGTACTTGGTCGGCGCCACACACACCTAAGTCTATTCTCTCTCATCCTATCGCATATTGGTACCACACCTAAATTCTCTCGAATAGATTCATTTCGAATTCTATCCCTTCTTGTCTTGCCACTCCATATAATTCGTTGCTTTTACCACACTTTTTGTCCTAATTTCAAATTATGTCAGCGTTTATGAGAAGCAAAGCTATTACTTTAATCATTATGCAAAGGACTTTTGTTGCGAATTCAAATTTAGTGAGATAAATTCTGCTAATTATTTATGATGGAAATCAATGACAAAAATGTCATGTCCATCTGTTCTAGTAAAATTTGGTATTATTTAGTGTATCAAAAAGCGCTAGGCGGGTCCTAGGCTGCTTGGGGGATCCAGGCCACCCAGCACCTAGCCGGGCACCAAGACCTGGGCAGCTGCCCCGTTGAAAAAAAATACCAAATTACCAAATACCATATTCCAAGTTGAAAAAAAAAGAAGATAGACATCAAGAAGAGAATTTTGATAATCCATATTGTTAAAACTGTAAACTGTAAAACCATACAAGTGTAGGATATAAAAGTTAACATTCAACACAACAGAAATATACAGAAAGTTAGAAAATATACAGTCTAACAAAAGTCAACACTCATGACTCAACACAACAATCAACACTCAACACTCAGCACTAAGAGGCAAGAGTCTTCAGTCGTCATCGTCAATATCATCATCATTAGAAGGAATATCAATAGGCCAAGCTTCATCATATGCATCAGAGTCGAGGCCATCATCAAAGTGATCTTCCTCTTCAATATAACGCTCATCGTCCTCTGTTTCTTCTGAATCTGCCTCTTCCTCCTCCTCCTCTTTTTCTTCTACCTTCCTCTTACTAGTATGTGCAGTCTGTTCAGATGAAACCCTAGGAGTCTTGGCTGCTCTATCCTTTTCTTTTTGCTTCTCTGAACTCAAATATTGTATACTTTCCTCTCTAGTAGCCTCAGGAACATTTTTACAGGAGGCAACATCTCCCTTAATACCAGCAATTTTAAACAGGTAAGTGCCCCAAATAGTATCCTTTCCACAACAATTACATTTAATACTATTTTTATCACTTGGATTCGGGTTATAACCATACTTCCAAACCGGATCACCACTCTGACTACAACCTGGAGAAGATACTTCAATAGAGTAAGGCTTATTTTCAACTTTTTTTGGTTCTTCTAAATTCAGAAGATGTCTAATCTCATCCTGAACTGCGTCAGGAACTTTTGTACAAGAAGCAACATTACCTTTAACACCAGCAAGGTGTTTGTTGAATCGGCTAATACCCCCATTGGTTTTTTTTTCATAAAAATTACATCTTATACAATTTTTATCATTTGGTTTTGGGTTGTACCCATACTTCCAACCCGGATCACTTCTTCTAGAAGTAGCAGAAATAGATCTATGAGAAGGATTTTTTTCTTGTTTTTGTTTTGCATAACTTATATATTGCTTAATCTCCTCTCTGATAGCTTCAGGAACATTTTTACAAGGGACAACATTCCCCTTAATACCGGCAAGATGTTTCTTAAACCGGTTTATGCCTCCTTTTGTATCTTTTTCACAAAAATTGCATCTAACGCAATTTTTGTCATTTGGATTCGGGTTGTATCCATATTTCCAACCCAGATCTCCACTCCGACTAACTCCTGAAGAAGACATCTCAAAATAAAATAATCAATCTAAAAAATAAAGTTTTGCACGTACTTTGATTGCTCGAACTCCAAACTTTGAGACACTTCGATCCAATAAAATGTAGTTTTTTGGAGGTTTCTTTCTCTCTAAAAGGGGCTCTTGTGGGTTTAGGTTTCAAATTAACCTAAAACCCCTCCTTCTAACCTTTTATATCTTTAAAAAAAATCAAAACAAAAAACAAAAAAAAACATTTCTGCCGCTGGGCAGGGGGTAGGCCCTGGGTGGCTGCCCAGGGCTGGGCACTGGGCGGCCGCCTAGGCAGGTTCTATACCACCTAGGTGGCCGCCTAGGGACCACTGCCTAGTTTGCCTGCCTAGGCTTGGGCGATGGGCCCAGGCCTTCTAGCCTGCCTAGGTGGCCGCCTAGGCGCTGGGCGGTCCGCTTTTTTGAACAATGGTATTATTTGAATGTTAAGTTGTTGACTCTGGGCAAGAGCTCATAATGCATTATCCAAGGCGAGAGAGGTATTGCTTGTGCCTATACCTGTGCACAATACATAATGTAAAATGTTCTTTTGATAAAGTCATGTTGTCATTTTAATGTGCTTTATGAGCATAACATGTATAATATCATCATCAAAGCCTTATCCCAACTATTTGGGGGCGCTACACAAATCATATTCTCCCATTCTGTTCTATTGAGGGCTATATCCTCTGTCAGACTATAAGTCACCATATCTCTTCTTACTACTTTTATCCATATCCAGTCCTTCCCCTTGCCCTTTTAGAGCCTTCCACTTGAACCAAATCGTCCCACTTAACCAGGGTTATATTAAGGCTATGCTGCACATGGCCAACCCACCTAAGTCTACTTTCCCTCATCTTATCGCCTATTGGAGCCACTTCTAAGTTCCTTTGTATGTATTCATTCCAAATTCTATCCTTTCTTGTCTTGCTGCTTATCTATCTTAACATCATCATCTCAGTTGCACTCACCTTATAGATATGTTGTTTCTTGAATGCCCAACATTCAGTCCCATAAAGCATGGCTGGTCTTACAGCTATCTTGTAAAACTTCTTCATCAGTTTCATTGGTATGTGACAATCAAATACAACTCCAAATGCATATCTGCAGTTCACCTATCTAGCTCTAATTTTATGCGTGACATCTTCTTCAATCTTGTCATTCTCCTGGATTATCGATCGAAGATATTGAAAATAATCTCTCTTAGGTATTTCTATTATTTTTATAACTAAACTTGCATCCCATATATTCAATCTTAGTTCGTTTAATTTTAAAACTCTTAGATTCTAGAGCATCCCTCCAAAGCTCTAACATTGTATTGATGCCGCCTCTGGTCTCATCAATCAAAACTATGTCATTCACGAACAATATACACCACGATACCTCATCCTATAGATGCCTAGTTAACTCGTCCATAACCACAAGAAACATAACATGTATATATGCTTCTTTTATTTGGAGATTTTATTTCTAAATAAATCTTATGAAGATTGCATTATTATGTTGATTGAACCAAAAAAAGAAAGATTGCATCATTATGTGCCTTGGGACAAAATGCATTCTGGAACACCATGTGAATGATGAAAATATACAAGTAGTTTTCATTAAATAATAAGTGTGATGGGAGTAGTGATAAGCTTTGGCAAAGTTGAAACAGTTCTGGGATCTGACAGTAGAAAATGTGTGAAGTTCAATTTGTCGCATGGTATGGCAATAGTGTGTAGATGTGGCCCCTTAAAATTTGAAGGTGTAATGGTAGTTCTGTAACAATCAGTTTGATAGTGGGTTGGTTGTTTGAATTTGAGGCACGCAAAGTGCTTAAAGGTTCTCTTGTGACGTGGTTTTGAGAGAAGTTATGCAAAAGAAAAAAGGTATTGATGAGTATCAATAGATGGTTTTCAATTTGATAATTCTGTTGGATTTCCAATTGACTGCTCTAGTCTGCTAAATTTACTTTCCTTTTGCGTATCATAAAAAGCAATTTGGGTAGTTTAAAAGATGGAGCCTCCTGATAGTTCTTTTGCATTTAATGGTGCTGTTGGTCTAAGCCCACAGCTCTTTATCATTTTGAATTACATAAGGTTTCATTTTCAAGGAGATGAAGCATTTCTTCTCTGAAAGTAATAATTTTGTAGGAATGTTTGCTGAGGCATTTTATTGTTTTTAGTATATGATCAACCTCTTATTGGTACTCATGGCAGATATGACTTTTCCAAGAGATGCATCAGTTTGTCTGTATAAGTTATCTTGGTGTTTTCTTTTTGCTTGGTGGATAGGGGAATCCCAAATAATCAAGTAGAAAAATATAAGAGTTGGGTTTACACTAGCAAGCACTTATTTCCTCAAACTTGAGGAAGCCTGTTTGGGATTATCTCTTGCATTTCGTTGGCATGGCATCGTATCCTTGAAAACAGCATTGTGTTATTCACTACTTCCCTTGGTTTTGCTTTCTGGTAGATAAGGGTTGTTTATTATGTTAATAATTTCTACATATATTCTTTTTTACGGAAATTTACAGAAAAATCCCATTTTATTTTGACCTTTTAAAACAGTCCTGTATATTTGATATTTTACACTCATGTCCCATTGTTTAGAGCATGAAGCATATTTTAATTATTTCATTTTTATACATAGGATTTACGTTGAATTTGTTATGTTCATACTTTTGACAATCACACCCGTATAAATAATACTTTTCATACTTTTGAGTCGTCGTGCATCTCTCATTGTACAATTTGCTCTCGATATCAGAGATTTGGGATGCACTTCGAGCTGCAGCCGAAGCCGATATGAGCCTTGCCCAAGCAATTGTAGATAGTGCAGGTGTCATCGTTACAAGTGCTGACATGTCCACATGCTATGATGAAAGGGGTACGTATGCTTACTGTTTGCTCTCTCTCTCTC